GACCAGTAAAAATACTGGTCTACTAAGGGAAATAGGAGGGTATTCCTGCCCAGAAATCCAGGATCACCATAGCTGCTACATGTCTGCCTGACGGAGCATTGAAACACAGCTGGACACAAATCTGGCCCTGCTACACACTAGCTAAATGATGGTGGGCAAGTCCCTATCCTCTCCAATCCCTGGCACCCTTACCTGGGAGATGGGGATGATAATACTAGGTATCAGATCTGTTGCAATGATCAAACTAGGTAATATTTTGCATTCGATGCATGCCTGCCACATGTCCACACTCACTAAATGGTGGCCGGCATCATTGGAGATGAGCAGGTTCTGGAGAGCTTTGTGAAGGACTCGAGATGGAACTAATATCAAGTACAAATACCTAGAAACTGATTCCTTCACATTTTTCCTAACAGATGGAACATAATGTGAAACTTCAATAAGTCACAGGTCAAAATCAATCAAGTTTGTGAACGTTGTTCTGTGTGCCCGGCAGAGAATGAGAGCAGGGGCTCTCAAGCCAGACAGAACGGACTTTATTCCTGGCTCCTCCAATGACCAATGTAGTCTTCGCAAATCAAGCCTGTAACGTGGGGCCAGCAATACATATTGCAAGATTATTGTAAGGATTGGCTGTAATGCATCAAGACCCTGGCAGAGCAGCTAGGACATAGTATGTCTCAAGAAAATGGAAGCCCATTTTCCACATGTCTTACTGGGGTGGGGTGGGGAGAGAGGAGTCATCTAAAAATATCAGTTGAGGGCCTCCCCGGTGGTGCAGTGGGTTGAGCACAGCGCTGTGAAGCTGTCCGCAGCCTCTGCAGCGCAGGTTCGATTCCCAGCCGGCCAGGGAGCTACCCACATGGCGCAGCAGACCTCTCCTGTCTCGCCCCTGCTCCCCTCAGCAGTGTCTTTGGTCCATCTGCCTGTTCTGCTCCCCACTCTGTCTCTGGTGAATCCTCTCACCCTCTGCACCTCTGGCCTGTACCCCAGCTCTTGTATAAATAAAAAACAAATCTTAAAAAAAAAAAAAAGAGCATTGCTTTAAAAAATAAATAAATAAAAATAAAAATATCAGTTGAAAATCTGGTTACTTTTGGAATATGCTCCGGGCTCTTTTTGTCATTCCTCCAATGTCACTGGGGTGGGTGGGTTGTGTGACCCCTCACAGGGCACTGAGTCCACTGACTTCTAAATCAATTTGGAAATTGATGGAGTATACTTTGAAATGGCAAAGGATACTTCTCTTTTTGTCTAGGACATGTGCGGACAATTCAGCCCAATGGGCAGCATCGATATTGGAAGTAGCTTTTAAATTGGGGATTTTAATTTAATCATTGCGTTCTTGCTACGTCAAGTGGAGTCTCCCTCCCGAAATCATTCAGACAGTACTTTGTGGCTTGTGCACGGACACTCACCTTCCTTTCTTGGACTCTGAGCTTCAATTTCTCTTTCAAGTGAAGAAAACAAAAAATAAGAATGCGAGTAGCATTCCTTACCCCCTAATCAATGGAGAAAACAATTTTTATATAAATTCTCTAAAGATGCTAGAAGATAAAGCATAAATTTTATGCCATGGGATATTTTATTTACTGTCTCCATGGGATGTATTTTAAAACTTTCGAACATATTGTAAATCCACGGCACAGCCACAGAGTCTTATATTCTGTTATCTTCCTAATAGAGACAATTAACAAAACAAAATACACATTCAAATGAAACATGTATCTGAACCATTTGGAAATAATTAAAATTATAGATCAGGTTTTCTTTCACTGATCACAAATTATGGTAATGCTTTTGGGGCGCTCATTTCCAGGCTTACTTTGGTGTGTTTATTAAAGCACGGTATTGTCAGATCGCGGGGAGTATCTCATTTTCATTTTCATATCTCCAATTCTAAAGGGGATTAAATTATCCAATTAAGCTGTTAATTAAAAAGACTCCTACAGAATAAACTGCAGGCTACCAATGACATTTTAAATTTTCATTGTGCTGTGCTCAAAAGTAATTTCCTAAATTCAGAAGAACTCAAAGTTACTGCCCTGAATTTTACTTCAGAAAGTGTAGCTGGCGTTGCTAGATGGGAGCCAAGCCTGCTTCCTCTCCTTTCTGAACACGCAGCTAAAGGACATGCCCAGCCTGCCTGCCCACCCCGAGAAGTTAGGTTTGGCAACATAACTGAGGTCGAGGCAATGGAGCCCGAGAAGTAACACAGGTAATTTCCAGGACCAGACCGGACCTACCATTCAATACCATCCGTGGCCTTCTCCCCTCCACCAGCTTCCTGTGAGGTGAGCGTGTGTTCATGTGTTGAAAATGGCGGAAGTAACCTCTGTCCCCAAAGTACCAGTTGGAGGAAAGAAGCTCACCAATTGGTAATACCCATTGGGCATGTACCCAAAACAAGAAATAAATTGGGTTACGTCACTGAGGTTATCTGTTCCAACAACAAGTGTGACCTTAATTAACAAAGGAAGCCACTGGACTTAAGGGACACACAAATACCTTACAGCCCGCTGGAAACATCACCCACCTTCACATTTGGCCAGGTCCACTTAGACCTGTATCTAACCATTGTAGCCACAACCTATGAAGCTATCCACAGCCACTGCAGCACAAGTTCAATCCCCGGCCAGGGAGCTACCCACATGATGCAGCAGACCTCTCCTGACTGGCCCGCTGCTCGCCTCAGCAGTGTGCTTCAGTCACTGCCTGTTCTGCTCCTCACTCTGTCTCTGGTGGGTCCTCTCATCCCCCACACCTCTGGCCTGTGCCCCAACTATTGTATGCATAAATAAATAAATCTTTAAAGAGAGAGAGAGAGAGAGAGTAGCGATGATGTGCCCCCAAGGAGAACGAAATAATCCATTCTCTGTGTATCCAACCTCCACCTGATGTCCCTCTAGATAATCACATTTGTCACACCACAGGATAATTCTAACAGTTCTCATTTCCCTCTCCCATGTTACACCACACTGTACATCGAGGGCCAGAGAATGTATGTGATCCCCCTACATACAACCTAATGGCTGACAGGTTATTGAGTGCTAAATCAGTGACGATAAACTGACTTGATCGTTAAAGGGGCTAGCACAGAGCAATTCTTTGCTTTAATAGTAATGGGTGTTCATATTCAGTTTTGCAAGACCAGACCTATCCTGATTGATAATTTCCTCAGAGAGCTTTCTTTACATCAATAGAAATATTATTTCAAAAGCAAGAAACCACACCTGCTGACTTACATTCTGGAATACACTGACCACCTCGCCTATCTCCCACTGTCTACAGAGAAAATTACTGCATTCAAATGCCACTTTCCTGAACCAACAAAGTTTGTTTACAATGGTTCTTTGCATACTTTGGGGGCAAATATTATTGTCTAAAACAGAACTGAATATGTTAATAGATGTAGCAAATTTCATTTTCTTCTAAAAAGAGAGAAACAGAAAATCTTCAACCAACATTTTATTGTCCTTCAAATATTGCTCATATTGTTTCACAAGTAGGGGAAGAAAATACAATGGCCATTTTAGATAGAAAATACATAATCCAAGAACACCTTTCTTCCATCAGTGGGGCACCACCACTAGCAACAAGAATGTTGTTGCATGAGATAATTGCATTTCCTTCCAAAATTTAATATGCAATTGAAGCATTATATGAAAAATATCAAGGAAGAAGCCTATCAAATGCTAAATGATTATAGAAATACAGAAATACTAAATGTATTTAGAAATGGGGGAAATTAAGGGCTGGACATTAATACAAACATGGGCAGCCCAAGAAGCAGACTCACCTGTCCAGACTGTGAGATATCTGACAAGCGATCTCAAAGCTGTCTGTTTCTCCGGCACAAGCATAACCTGTGTGGCAAGTCACAGCTCCTAGTTGCTTCCTAGGGATGCTCTTGGGCTAAATAAGATAAAATTTATGTGCTATGTTTTAAGCTTCATTGAGGAAAGGCAGTAAATAAACTTCAGGGTAATTCATGAATCCTGAGCTTGATTTGTCATGCCCAAGCCCATCTCATAAATGGAAAAACTGGAAATATGAGGCCAATGCTGTGTGGCTGGTGAAAAGCTCTAGAAACTTTGGGCAATGGAGAGAAGCGCAAACAGTACCACTTTATATACATAAAATCCTTGACTAATCCAGGAAAATTTCACAATAAAACCCTAACTCCTTCGGATGCCCAGACAATAGTTCACTGGCAGAGAACATCTGGTGCATGAATCAGAGAAGTATGTCAAGACAGTCCTAGTCGGAGATCCAATATCTAATTTCCTTTTAATTTACCATAATTATTTTTCTAAAACTTTATGGCTCGACTCCAGGGAATGTGCTTAGCAAGGGTCGCCAAAATCCTGTCTTCCCTTCAGAGGCAGTCTTTGGCCAGCTTCTTGTCCCTTTCCTTCCAGTTGCCTTAAACTTCCCTCTCTCCTAATCAGTGTCTGCTTCTTTTAGCAATCGGTATTGAAGAGAAGGGGCAAGAATGTCATTTGAAAATTTAAACAAGAGTGTGTATTTGGAAATCCAGTTCTAGGAGCAAATCATGGTAGCTGGTAGTGTGGCTTTGGGATGGCCACTGTGGGTTTGCTTGGTTTGATAACGGCCATCCTGTCTACAACGTTCCGAGCGCCTGAGCTACAGCGAGTGAACAAGTAGCCACATCATCCAGAAAATGCGAGGGCCCCAAGTGATGACCAATCAGTTTCCCCTAAACCAGCAAATGACTGAGCGACTTCCATTGCCAAAGTCACAATTCCACGCTTTTATCAAACACTTTCTCTGACCTGCAGGAATGTGTTTATTTGAAGTTTGAAAAGAGGACTGTAAAAGTTGAGTGCTATTCATACAAGCATGACAAACCTGGCCTGATTTAAATGTCCACGGACAGAAATCAAACAAGGAGTATCTTGCCCAGCTACACACAAGATGATTCCTCTGACACATTTCCAGCATCCCTGACCTAAGGCAGCTTGTTTTTAAAACTACACGCCAAGCCTGCATTAAGCCATGGTTTAGAGGAGGAGAAGGTAACTGCCCTTCAGAAGTTTATCCATTCAGAGAGGAGGAAGTCAAGGGGAAAATCATTCTCCTCTGACTAGGGCGGTGTAATTGTTTTCCTCCTGATGGTGCCCCTGCGTCCCTGCGTTTTTCTCCCTCTAGAAGTTCCCATGGTTACAGGAGGAGGAGGCTCATGCTTAGATTCAAAAAAAAAAAAAAAAAAAGAAAGAAAAGATGACAAATCACAGGGATGCAAAATAGCCTCCCATGGCTAGTCTGAATCTATCGTTTTGTTTCTGAGATTTTCTTAGTGGCCCACATAAACCAGAACCGCACGAACAATGAAGAATGTGAAGGGACTTGCTCTTTTAAGAAAGCAGAAATGCCATGGAACCCCTCTAAGGCCATTAGATTCCACCCTCCACACATAGACTAGTAAGAGGTGGAGGAGATCACTTAAAAGGATAAAACTCTGAGGATCAAAACCACAGTACAGCTCTTTCCTACAGATTCTTTAGAAGACTTAATGACTGAAAATTTCGCTTCTACAGCCTGTGCAAGGAAATCATAATTGAATTAATAGCTTCTAAAATGTCTTTAACCAAGAAATTTTTCCAAAGTTTTTTTTTTGTTTGCTTGTTTGAAAAGATAGATGCCACCAGCTGAGCCAAAATAGAAGGGCATTTTGGATCCTCCTCAATGTGGCGTTTGTCCCTTTGCACAAAAGGGAAATGAAAGCCATCTATTCCTAGTGGGGAATTAGAGTCATTTTCTCCGTGTCTGCTCATTGCAGAAACAGGAGAACGCACATACAGGAAGGAAGGAAGACAGACGGGACCTGCACTAAAGGAGGTGACCAGCAGGCAGACGGGGCCACTGAGGTCTGGGAGACGAGCTCAAATCTTGGCAATTTCATCTCGTAGGTCCTTGCTGTTGCATGACTAGGAGTTTTTCCTTCTCCTGGAATTTAAAAATACATCATTTTCCTTCTATTCGATAAACTCAAATCTTTTACCAAGTAGCCTTTCTGCCAGCTTTGTCCATGCTGACTTGAATGGGGTGATTTGCTAACAACATAACGGTGAGGCTCGTTTTCATCCTGAAAGATGCCAAAGCTGAAGGCAAGAATATCAGCAACATTCATAAAACAGAAAGCTAGCCTATCTCTAAGTTGACTACCTTATCATGAATAAATGCTGGCTAATCATGATGCGTAAAACGTAGCCTGCTTTCCACAGAGCAGTAAAACTTCCCAGATGTACACCCACATGTGCTCATCATTGAGTGTTACAAGTTTAACAGATTGATGTTTTTTGTGGGTACATTCTACTGGGCCCCCTGCAAAGCCATGAATTAAAACAGTATGTTCCACACTGAATGGACAATGGCAACAATTCAGCAGATAACATTTAACAAACATAGCCTAGGGATTTATTTTTTTTGGCTTGGTTTTCTAAAGAAATACACTTGGTCCCCTTCTTGCATTCCATTTTTTAAGCCCTAAAACACTGACAAGATATAGTTTCAATCTAAGCACTACCCAAATCATGAAGATGCTTTGGAAATAAAAGTCCTAAGGGAAACATGGGCCTAAGCAGAGGATGATGAGTGTCCAGTGCAGCTCTACTGGAACTCGGGATGGACAAAGCAGTGCGCCGGCTACCACAGTCGACAAGAGTCCGTGCCTCTGTTCATTGTGGAATTGGAGGGGCAGTTGAAAGCCTTCCGGAACTCTTCAAAGTTGCTAACTGCACCATTGACCCTGAAAAAGAAAGGCGAGGGCATGTGTCATTTAATTCTTACATATCAACAGTTTCTGGCTAAAACTGCAGCAGCATCTTGCTCAAAGGATGTTGCATTTGTCCAATCTGTCAACAGGAAGCTAACTGAAGCCCAAGATGGTGAAGGAAATCATGTCCGGTAGTAACTCCCAAGCATTTCCACTGCAAATATTTTCATCACAGAACTAACTGGCCTTCAGGTAAATTTCGAAAGAAATAAATAGAGCTGAGACTAAAACCAGCACCTCCTGAAGACCAGACAAATGCTCCTATTAATCTTCCAAACATCTCCAAGTTCCTATAAACTGTAGGATTTGCAACTCCTACAAATTGTATAGTTCTATAAATTTATAAATTCTTTTAAACTGTAGGATTTACTGATACTTAGCTTTTCTAAAATTTTATAGCAACTTTTGGGGAAGGTTTACCTGATACAGAGTATACACATCTTAAATGCAAAGTTCACCAATTTTTTCATGTGTCTATACCCATGTTACTACCACCCAGATCAAGATGGGGTACTTCTGGCATGGAGAAGGTTCCCTTATGTGCCCTACCAGTAGTACCTCCGAGGCTAACTACTAGTCTGACCCCTCCCACCATAGATTAGTTTTGCCTGTTTTTGAACTTCAAATCACTGGAATCACACAGCATGCCTTCTGACTTCTTTCATTCAATGTTATGTCAGTAAGAATTACCTCTGTTGTTGCATTTCCAGCTAGCTTTAAGGAACTCAATTCAATCTACAAAAATGCTTTTTCTAAATTCCCATTAGGTTTGAAGGCTCATATTTATCTAGAATTCAGCTCATGCAACCAAAAAATTAATGAATGCTGGCTAGCTGTTATTGATGAGCAGTGCTTTACTGGAATTAACTCCGAGATCTGGTGTTCTTGCAAGTTCCCCAATTGCAGTGAAGACTGCAGATTTCTCCTCAGCACTTTGATTGTAACTGCCTTTTGGAAGTGCTATTTCCACTGTGTGATTTCTACACTCAAAATCTATAGCTCCTGCAGAAATCACTAACAAGCCACAAAAAATTGCCCCGCCCTCACCATCTATTTCTTACTCAACTACATGTTCAAAGGGTTGACTAAAGACTCAACATTCTCGGTCACTGACTGATTCTTCCCTGCTGACTTTGTTACCTGTGGGCATTTCAATGAACATAATGGCCTGTGTCCAAAAATGCTCCAAACCTCTTGTGTTTCAGAGCTGGGATGTATGGGTAGGGATGCATGTTTCATAATGTGATTTACCCTGGGCAAGTGTTAGAGATCGAATTTAGTTGATGATTAGTAAGCATTCTCTGCAAATTATCAGCTAAAATACAACATCACAGGCAACTAGTTAGTAAAAGGAAATTAGTTCCTAAAACCTTATCTGTTCAGTAATTAATCTACTGTGCGGTTCCCTCTGCACCATTTGTCAGTGGGAGCACATTTGAGTCCATTAGAGACTGTCACCGCTCCTGACAGTTTAACCCAGTGGGGGAGAATTTCCAACACAGTGATTAGGTTTTTATGCTATTGGGTAATTTATAGTCAAGTTCTGAGGCACTTCTAAGGCAAGGTTTTTCTGAACAAGATTTTAAAATATATGAGGAACTTAAGATGACTTTCTTGCAGTATGCTAATGGATTCATTTAATCATTAAATAGGAAGATATTCAGATATAATATATTCGAAGCAAAGAATGAATAAATGTTATGGTTTTCTTATTTCCTTCAAACTGTGCTAGAAACCTAGCACAGGGCAAGTAATTTTATATTTACTTAATATTTTATACATTCTGACAAATAAGAGCAGAATTCATATTCCTCTTTCCTTCATCTATAAACAATTGTTTCAAATTAACATTTAAAACAAAAGCCAAAATGTGGAGTAGATGACTCTAGAAATGAATTATAATAGTCCAAATCACCATCTACCCTTCTTTATATTCGGAGCTATTCTGAAAGTGGGTACTCAGTTGTGTCTGTTGGTTGGTTGCATGAAAGAACAAGAGGCGCTAAACCGGATATTCCACAACCCAAAATAAACTGGAGCTCTAGGTGTTTGAAAGCAGAGTGCATATGATCTCGTCCTGATCTAAGAAAAGAGGCTTTTGGGACCTACAGGAAACAAGGAGGTGTTACAATACACCAAATATTCCTGTTTACTGAGCCCCCAGCTCACTCTTGGCCCCTATGGAATTCTGCTTTCAAAAGCTGGAAGACAGCAGATGGGACTTACTCTGAAAGCTATGGTTTGGATTCCAAATTACCTTTGGAGACTGATCACAATCTCACAGATCTCATGACACAGCACTCAAGGTGTGTACAAATATACAGGACAGAAATTTAGTTGAGAGGGCCTCCCCAGTGGCGCAGCGGGTTGAACACCACGCCGTGAAGCTGTCCGCAGCCTCTGCAGCACGGGTTCAATCCCCGGCCGGCCAGGGAGAAACCCACATGGCGTGGCAGACCTCTCCTGCCTTGCCGCTGCTCCCCTCAGCGGTGTCTTTGGTCCGTCTGCCTGTTCTGCTCCCCACTCTGTATCTGGTGAATTCTCTCACCCTCCCGTGCCTCTGACCTGTACCCCAGTTCTCATATAAATAAATAAATCTTAAAAAAAAAGCAATTTAGTTGAGAGCAAGCTGATTACATCAGCCCCTTACTAATGAAAGAAAAGATGCTTAGCTTCTGTGGGGCCAGATTGTTTTGCCTACACGATGGAGACATCACTGTTCACAACAGACTTCTGCTCAGACGACCTATTTGGTGGAGCACTGGGTGATGAGGTAGGGCAGGAGGAGGACAGATGCCCAGTTTAAAACTAGTGCCACCCATTTGCCTGTTTACCTAAACTGAGGGGGGCTGTGAGCACCAATTTGGACTTGTTCTCGGGCGGCTTCTGGTCTGTAGGAATTGCACCTCACCTGGAAAAGAAAAGCATCCCAATAATTACATTGCACTCCAATCACCCATTTTCTATCGCCTTAACTGTTTCACATTATACGAAAGAGTAATTTTGGAATCAATGGATGACAAACAGTTTCCGTAGACCAGATAAAACCTTCCTGAGTAGTAACATCTATTATTCTCAGCTCCAGAGTAGGTTTATCATTGTGAATAACTCCACAATTTGAGTAAATTAGGAAGATTTGCAGACAAATGCTTTAAATCAAGAGAACAGTGTATGTGTCAAAGACTATATTCAGTCAATTAGTATGATGCTTACAACAGCTCTTCTCAAATTTAACCATACTCATTCAAATCAACAAAATGGATCCACCATCTATTACTCAGGATGGTCATGAGAAGTTAGTATTTTGCACCAATTGCTTTGCCTGCCTGACCCTCGACAGGACCTTGCATAGGCCACTTCTCTGTCTCCTTTGAAGTTAGGTATGGCTATGTGACTTGCTCCACACCAGAAGATATATATATATATCACCTCTTGGTAGGAGCTTTAAAAACTTGGCAGAAGTTTTCAAAGCCTTAAAAACAATTTAAAATGCTACATGAAGGGGCAGTGCACATTACCTCGTATTTCTTTCCTGCTCTGGTGGTGACCATGGATGTGCTTGTCGAGATACACACTCCAAACCCAGAGCCTCACTCTGATCCATGTGGAATATGGAGCATGAACAAGAAAGAAACTCGCTTTGTTCTTGCACTGCGATCTACTGAATCCTGGCCCCCTGTGTGTCTTGAAAAATGATAGAGTTCTGAAGTATGAATAGAACCAGGATGCGTGAATATGATGGGAGAATTCCAAGTGGAGGGAAAAAATGGAAGCAAGGACACACTTGAGCAGAACATATTTGAACAAAAAGCAAGACAATCAGCTTGGCAGGATTGTGAGGTGCCTAATGATCAACCGTGGAAAATCAGGGGAGCAAGAGGAGGAAGTCAGATTTCTGAAGGTCTGTGCAATAGGCTACAGTGCTTAGGTTGTATGTAAATATTGGTTTTGAGCAGGAAAATGATAAAAGCATTTTTTTTAATTATCTGGGGCCTCCCCCGTGGCACAATGGGTTGAGCGTGCCACATTGTGAAGCTATCTGCAGTCTCTGCAGTGCAGGTTCGATTCCCGGCTGGCCAGGGAGAAACCCACATGGCACGGCAGACCTCTCCTGCCTCGCCTGCTGCTCCCCTCAGCAGTGTCTTCAGTCCATCTGCCTGTTCTGCTCCCTGCTCTCTCTCTCTGGTGAATTCTCTCACCCTCCCACGCCTCTGACTGTACCCCAGTTCTTGTATAAATAAATAAATCTAAAAAAAATTTATCTGGCAGAGGTATATAGTAGGAGGGGGAAATTAGAGACTGTTTAGATTATCTGTGGGCCCCAGGAAGATTCTCATGAATGACCCAAAGTAAGCATAGTGAGAATGGAGACATTTAGAAAGAGAAGAATATCTGGGGGGAAATCTGACAGGTCGTAGCAACAATGGGGGTACAGAAAGCAAGAGGTGATGTGATGCCATCACTCTGGATGAAGATGAACTGTCAGTCACTGTGTTCTAAATTTGACTTTGAAGATGCCTTGGAACATTTTTGCTTAATTTCCTCAGATGCTGGCTAAGTGTAGTTGTCTCTGGCATTTCATTTTACCTCATTTTTAAATGCTATGTCTTATATTCTTAAATTTTTAATATGTAGTATTGTCTTAGCTTCCTATGTCACTTAAGGGATTTCTGAAAACACATTAGAGTTGTTACTGTTTTCCTAATACCTTCCCAGGAGGGAAAATAACTTCACTGGCCCTATAAGAAGACTTAACTTCAATGTGCAAAAGATTGAAAATCTCCTTGTTCTGTCAGTAGGAAAAGCTCTAAGATAAATTTCTCATTAGTGATATAAAATAGCTTTCCATTTTTTCCCTAAATCCCTTTAGTTTAAAATAAATCAGATATGGTTGAGAATTTTGAGACACTTAAAAATTATGACTGCAATGTTATTCTCAGTTTACTTCATCTACAAAGAGCTATTGCAGGCCAGGGTATAACTAATAAGAACTGATGGACCTTGTACCTTGTCTTCTGAACTGGGGTCAGCAAGCACTGTTGGGAAAGGGACAGATAGCAAATATTTTAGGCTTTGCTGACTATAAGGTCTTTCTGTGAACTACTCAACTCTGCTGTTGTGGTACAAAACCAGTCACAAACAACATGTAAAGGAAAGAGTATAACTGCCTTCCAATAAAACCGTAGTTTTAAAAACAGACAATAGGTCATATTTGGCCACTGAGTCCTAGTTTGCCAACCCCTGCACCAGAAAGTTCTATTTTGTGTGTGCTTATTTTAGACATAGGATCCAGTAGTGACCCAAAAGAATTCTCCTTAGCTGAACTGTGTTAGTTTTATCTGTTCCAAGCAATTCCTATAAAAATGTCAAGCGTCTTCAATATTGCCAACACATCTTTGTTGGGTGTTACGAAGATACATAAGAGCAAGGATCCAAAAGCTCGGCTGCAGAAATAAAACTAAAAGTCTACAACATTTAGGGAACAATTAAATAGTCAACTGCATGGTTATGAGAGAAAGCACAAAGCAGTTGGAGATTTTTTTGTTAATGAGAAAGGGAATCTTCGGGGAAGTTTGTGGAAGGTGTGACACAGGTGGAACCCAACATGGATCCTGACAGAGGAAGAGGGTGTCAAATAATCTGAGTAGAAGAAGAATCACATTATAGAGAGAAAAGCAAAAGCAAAGCCACCAAGCCAGTACTGTCGATGACACTGTGGGATGGAAGTGAGGACACTAGCTACTGGGAACCTGATAGAGCTGTAGGAATTTAGAGCTGGTTGTGCAGAACCGGTTGTGTAGAGTTGTACTGATGAAAACTTCCATCTAGGTTTGAACATAGATACATACTCGCCCACTGTGAGGCCATGCATCAGAACCCTCAGCATCCCCTCCCTGGCTTTCCTGAAAATGAAGCCTATGTGTTTGTGACATAAACCAGCGCAATAACCAATAACAAAGAATTGGCACTTGCCTCATGAGTCAGAGACTCCAATTCAGAACTGAGTTTAGTGTACTTGCACATCTTCCTTCACTCTCTGACCAGAGGACCCATTAGACTCACAATAGAGTGGCATGTCTCTCCTTGCCTTTGTCGCAGTGTTTCAGCTCTAGCAGTCTTCCACTTTCATTTGGAAGTTGGGAACGTGGCCTTGAGGGTCCCCGACAGGTTGAGAGTGGCGGATAAAATCAACAAGTGAGGCAAAGTAGAAGGAGAAGTGCAGGAAAAGGCAGGGCCATGAAAGTCAAAGAGTGAGTCACTAGAAATGGTTATAAATAGTATGAAATACATTAAGAAGTCAGGATACATTAAAGAAATATCAAACACATAAACAGAGGGCTGGTAACTCACTGGATAAAAAATAATCAATAAATCTTGTCTAAATCAGGTAATTATATCCCATAGGACTTTAAGAAGGTGAATTATATCCCCCTCAAAAAAAGCAGCAAGATAATTTTAACTGAAATCAAATTTATGCTATTAAACCTTTGTTCCAAATCTTTGATCACGTCAGAGTCCCACGTTTCTACTCACGTGAGCATAGCTCAGGAAGAAGAGCTGGTTGTTGGTGAATTCGATGCCTGGTAGGAGAAGCTCCTCTACTCCCTGCCTCTTGTCATCCACCCATTTCCGATAAGCCTGACAAGAGAAGCAGAATCGATGAGCCTTTGCAGCGAAGGCTCTCCCTTTCCACGTCCAGCCAAGTGACATTAAATACATCCTCCCCCCTGTGCAACTCGTATCCTGTCAAGTTCTCCTTTAAGAAAACAAACCCCTGGAAATGCAAGTCAATGTCCTATTGCTTCATGGTGAGGTGGAATCACCTACCAAAAGACTTTACAGTCGATATATTTATTGAAAGCAGCTGGACCAAAATATTCAGATGGCAAAGGACTCCAAAAAAACATCAAGAAGAAGAAGAAAGCTGTTCTTTCCATTCCCTCCAGGAAACAAACAAATCTAACACAGTGGCAAAGCCTTATGGGAGGGAATCTGAGGGTCGACATATTGCCAATTTTTAATTTTGCCAAGTAAAAGGGAACACAATCAGCTTCTGCCACTGTCATTTAATAAAATCAATATATTTTCACAAGAATATAAGATGGATATTGCCTCGGAATACTAGGCGGGTCTTTACATGAAATGCATTTAAGCTTTATGAAAATCTTTCCACGTCATTCTTCTGTTGCTTGTTTAACCGCAGACCATGGGGGATGAAAACATTATTATGGCTCTGTACCTGGACCACTGTATGAGAACCCCTAGCCTCTGGCAATCATTTAGAAGTTTGATATTTCAAGAGAAAATCACGAGGAGAGAGCTGTTCTCAAGGAAAAGTCATATGAACCTAACCCCGAGGATATGTCTGTGGCATGCTTTGATATTGCTCTGAATCTGTCTTCTGCAAACTATCCTTTAAATGCATGATTAATAGCAAATATTATTCTTTCGGGTGACCATACACCTCAAAGTAAAATAGACGGAAATGCAGCTCTCTTCATACCCTAGAGTAAGAGTCAACGGGGAACTCGAAGTCTATTTACAGAAACATATAGAAATTGACAGGATATACTGAAATCTAACTCCTCCAAAACATGTTCCTGAGTAAACTGAGGTGCACTAAACAGTTTAATTTTTTAAATCACAGCAGATGCAACAGCGCGTACCCTAAAAGCTTCCCGCAGTCCTCCATTATCGGCAATATTTTCTCCCAAGGTCCTCTTCCCTTTCACCTAGCCCAGAGAAAAAAAGAAAACAGTGGGTTTCACAACCAACCATCGTTCAGCATGAGGCAGAAACATGAGCGTAAGAAAAAGTGTCATATTTTAAAGAGAAAATTACATTCAGTAAATCAGAGGTAGTTGGATGTATTGTGAGATCGCAGAATAACCCGCAGTAAGGTGCTCCTGATAGAATCATTTCCACTTGATTATGCTACACATTTATCTCTCACCCACCTCTTTATTCTCACCAATTTATCCAGCTCCAATAAAATATTAACAATATTCTGAGTGACTCTGGTTTAAGGGGGAGAAAATAGAAATGTCAATACACGGGTTACTTTCTCTGATGAACTCACGTAATTTGAGTTTTCTTTTCGGTACGGTTCTATGTCAAAGAATTTACCATCCACACAGGAACAAGATTTCCAGACCAACCATCACCATTTTGCCTTCAGCAATTTCCATGAAAAATTCAAAGGAGGGTGGCTGTCATAGGAAACAAAAATCAAATGGAAGCAGCACAGACCACAAGGTGGAGGCTGGCCATATGGGTGACAACCAGCCAAGCAGGGCAAAGAAAGTCTTGCGTGCAGCTAAAGATTGTTTGCTAAACCCTTCAATGGTGTTTTAGGACAAAAGATCGTCTAAAGCAATACAGCCCACAAGTCAGATCCAACCTGCTGCTTGTCGTTGTAAGGGCTGCAAGACCGGATTTTACCTTTTTGGTGATTCCAGGGGAACACTGAAAGAGTGATACGTGGGGGCTGTGAAAATGATGTTCAGACTTCAGGGTCCACAAATCAAGCTTTATTGAAACTCAGCCATGCCTATTTGTGAACAGACTGTGGCTGTTCTCTTCTCACCGTGGCAGAGTAGCCACAGAGCCTTTCTGGTCCACAAAGGCCAAATTATTTACTGTCGATCCCCTTACAGAAAAGGTTTGCCGTGGGAGGCACAGGGCCCCCACCCCAAAGACGACGAGGTCCTAATCACCGGAACCTGTGAATATGTTACCTTATATGGCAAAGGGGACTTAAAAAATCTGATTAGGTTAAGGACGTGGAGATGGAGACACCCACCTGGATTATCCAGGTGGGTCCACGGTAACTACAAGGGTCCCTAAAAACAGGAAAAGAAAGTCAGGAGAGTGTGTATGAAAGAGATGCAAGGAGAGAAGACTCAACCAGGCACTGCTGACAGGGGGAGAAAGGAAGGGGCCAGAAGCCAGGAAATGTATGAAGCCTCTAAGAGCTGGAAAAGGCAAAGTCACAGTCTAACAGAGTCTCCCCGAGAGCTCTAGAAAGAAATGCAGCCCTGATGATGCCTTAATCCAGGCCCACGGAGAACTGGGACAAACAAACACAACTCTAAAGTGGTAAATTTGTGTTGTCTTAAGTCTGGGGCTTCTTTTGATATTCCCTCATGCTTGAATTTAATCTCCTCCCTTGCTCCTCTAAGCTGTGTCTAAATGAGAGGCTTTGGGAGTAGCCACATCCCGCTGCTTCTTCCTACCCTGGACCACCTCAGTAGACCCTAAGGCCCTAGGTTCGCCTGTCAGGACTCAGCTGCTAACTGCCGACTTCTGTGGAGCTCCCTCTAGGCACCGCAAAGATTCAGGATTCACCTCCACCCCAGAGTCAGGAAAATAAAGCATGGCCCTTTATAGCCACAAAGGAAGCGGCCTGCCTTTCCTGTGGGAAGGAGACTGAGGCTGTTTTCTGACGGTTGAGCGCGTTTATGCTGAGACAGGCATGCTCTTCCCACCGTCCTTGTGACAAAGGTACACATTTGTCAGAGTTCAGTTTTCAATACCTGACACTCCGACCAAAATGGATGTTGTAGAATAGTTTCTCCTCGCACACAAGTATAAAGTGAATTTAAGGGCAGAGAGCAAGAGCACGATATGGGGGAAAGAGTATGGACTGGAGCGTCATATTGATCTAGCTAGGCTCTAGCGTGGATTTTAATTCCTCTGAGTCTCGGTCTCCTCATATGTAAAATAGGCTAGTCATATGCTCGCTTCTTGAGGCCAGTATCAGGATTATATTTTTTTGCAGTGAAGTGGAAAGTCTAGCACCCACACCTGCATACAATAATCACCAGGAAATCTGCATTCCCTCCCTCCAAGAAACCTGCTCTTCTATTTTTTTTTCAGTTCACAAATCTCTGATTTTGCTTTCTCTTAGAATGTGGTACCTATGAGTATGTCACAAAGTATTAGGAATAGGAACTCCCATTAACTGAGCACTTACTATGTGTCGGGCCTTATGCTAGGGCCTTACATTACTTCACTCATTTAATTCTTATAACAAACTAATGAGGTCAGAAAGCATTACCATTTCACAAGTGAATCTCTGTGACTCAGGAATGTTAAGGAACTTGGCCAAGTTCATAAGGCTCAGACTTGGTGGAGTGAAGGTTTGGACCTACGGCTCACTCTAGATATATTAGGACATCAACATTTTACAAGGAACTTTCTTTTGTGCAAACTTCTGTGAGTAAGAAGTCTTAGTCAACTCAGACTCATCCATTCAAATTAGTGAGGTTTTATTTCAATGCTTTCAACCTAAGCCGTAGTTTAGAAGGAAGTTTTTGAAAAGGGTACGGAGTATAGACTTAGAAGAATTCTATTGCCTCTCTTTGCTATTGGACTTTCTACATTAATCTCAATCTAGGGAAACAAATTAGGCCCATGAGTGTCAAACTTGACCTAGTGTCAAAATCACCCGAGGGCTTATGAAAAGACAGACCGCTGACCCCACCCATGGAGACTGAGTGGGCCTGGAGGAGGACTCGGGAATTAGCATTCCCGACAGGCTCCCAGGGGAGACCGAGGCTGTTGGTCTGGAAACCACCACGTTGAAAACCAATGGTCTAAAAGCAAGCTAACATCAAAGCCAGGAAGAATGACCCACAGGATGCCCCTTCACCCCAGCTGGACTCACATTTAAGCCAGCTTTCCTCCAGTAATAGTTGCTGTACTGGTTAACCATGCACTTGGTTTTTTCTTTAAACTTTTCCTCTGAGTCAGCAGACCACCACGGATCCAGGTTTCCATTTTTATCATATTTTCTACCTAGAGATAGGAAAGGGAAAAGACATGTGTATTATTTATGGAAACGAATTTCTTTCTGGTCCCTTTCCCTCACTTTGACAAGCCTTGAAAAAGGAGTCCCAGCAGCAGGGACCAGCCCCGGGAGCAGCTCCTGCCTTCTCTGCAGTGTCATGGGTTAATTGTCAAAAGGGAAGAAAGGAGAAAGGAGACTGAGAAAGTTCTTTCTGTTTTAAAGAACAAAGAGAATTTAAAAAAAAAAATATGATCCGTCAACTAATTGCACACATTATTCTTACCCAGTCAAAGATTCTTTGTTTTCACCTGATCTAACCCAAAATGTTCTCTGAATTATGAAATGAAATGACTTCATTCAGAAAGCCTGTGCAGGGAGTCAGAGCATCCACGGCCAGTGAAATTCCAAACGATCCAGAGGAACAGCCCCAGGGAGTCATTCACAGCGAGCCACCATAGCCCCTGACTCAGCCTATGGGAATGTGTTTCCTCCAAGTTGCCAGAACCAAGAGACACATAAAACCTCTGTTATGAATCATTCCACAGACATCAATGGGATGGAAGGCCCATCTGTCCTGCTGTGACAGGAAGGTTGCTCTAAAAAGGGAACTTGGAACAAGAATGGAAATCTCCAGAATATGTGGGGAAAGTGTATTTATTAAGTATGATTCATTTTTATACTGTAGATTCACCCTTCATTTTCTCTACATCCTTCAAAAAAACAAGTTTGGGTGTATTTGCACTATCTTTTACAGTCAAGGTTGCTATTGGTTTAAATTTAATGATGCAGAGAACACTTTATTTGGGCTTCCAAGAAAGTCTGCTAAGCAAAGGTGATCATTGGAACAACCCATAACTCTTCAGCAAGGCTGGATGCCATTTCCCTCACCCCCAGGGAGGACAAGAGCCCCCTCCACTACCAATCAGTCACTAAATAGTCACCAGGCATGTGTTTATGTGTGCAACACACTGTTCTGAGTACTGATTACAGACTGAAATTGCCATCATTGAATTCTGTCCTTTGAGAAAGACTCCAGAAGGCCTCCAGAAGATTCTAGAGGAAACTGTAAACGTCCCAGGAAGAATGACCTAGAATCAAGAGAGCACTACTGGCTTTCATTTCTTTCCTATGACTCTTCTCTCAGCTACACTAAACCAGCAAAGACAGAAAGAGTAGCTCTGGGGATTCAAGACAGCTTGATTTGAACAGGGAGGAAGGACCAGGGGAGCGAAAAATCTAGATGACTATGCAGGGGTTGGTGGGAATGCTAGAACTGTCCAGAAGCAGACGACCAAAAGGGCCTCTGTCCCAGGGGTAGGCATCCTGGAAAGGATATTGGAAATGCCAGAGACATAGAAGCAAGAGGTCCCCTCTCTAAGCGTTTCCGTGGGCCCTGCCAGGTCCGTGAGTCTGCCTGTATATCATCATGTGCATGTGGCTGTAACGGTGATTTGCTGCTAAGTCATAAGTTTGGGCGATTTCATGTGGCTTTCTAGTAATGCTCCGAAGTGAAAGGAGAAAGGAGTGCTGATTACAAACGAAGGTGATGCTCAAAGGGCAATCATTTCTTTAGCTGATTCTCTTTGCTGTCACTAAAATGTCATCAGGTTACACAGCATATTCTAAATCATGCTTTATTATGAAAGCACGAGTCTTTTTTAAAAAAAACTTCTGACAATATGCCAGTATAGAGAAAAACAGGGATTAAGCATTGCGTAATACTTGAAGTGGCACAAAAGAACCAACCCATCAAGCTCCTCCAGAATCCTAACTCGCAGAATCCTAACTCGCTGAGTCCTAACTTGGCAGCCTGCATAATCATCTTTGGAGCAGAGCTCACACCTCCAGGGAGAACATCTCAAGATGTTGCATAAAGAAATGACCAATAGCAAATAAAAACTATAAAGCAATTCCTATAACCATTGTGGCAACTACAGCAATCCTGATCAAAATGCAAAACTAATTCTATTGAAATTACAAGGTCTTTTTTTTTTTTTCATTCTACCCCATCACCAATGGGAACAATTACTTATTTATTGCAAGCTATCACAGCAAGACATGGAGAAAAGTTTTCCATCAGCAATTATACTTCTTTGGATAATCTTCGATCCATGACGATGCCACTATGCACAGAAAATAGCCACAATTAACATCCATATAATTAGCACGATCATAAAAGCAGCTAATACAATGAACCAGAACTTACCATTATTGTCAAATCCATGTGTAAATTCATGTCCAACAATTACTCCTATAGCACCATAACTCAGAGATCTGCGGCATAAATATATAATTTGGACAAAATTACACACACGAATCTCAGAGCAAAATCCTTTAATTTTTCAATGAAAATAAAAGATAATATGTTTTCTAATAATCACAGTAATAACAATGTAATAGTCACACCTACACAATAGTTAAAAAAAAAAAAAAACACAACAATCTGAACACACCCTTCTATTAGGGATGTGAAAGAGATGGTTTCGAAAGCCCCTTCTAGCCCTAAGACTTCTCTGCTCCTCTATCAGCTCTTGTAGTCATATTTATAAATACTCAAAGCAGAGCAGGGTTTGAAAAGATTTGGTCAACAAACATAACGTTTATATTTTTTATCTGATAACCTATTGAAAAATCACCATAAACTTAGAAGTTCAATTGTTTTCCAAATGTAGTCAGAAAAAAAAAAAAGGAGTAGAACAGAGATTAAAAGGGATCACTCTGCTTTCGAAGGAAGTCGTGTCTCTCTGCTTCTGTGACAGGCAAGTTCACAAGTCAGCGGCAGAGATTGTGAAGCCTTAGCCAGATTTGGAAAAGGTGTTGTATTAGTTCTCTGCACCTCTGAGGAGGAATGTGGTAGATTATCTACAAGGGTGACCACGGATAATTTCACCCACCCCTGAAGGCAAGAAGCAATCTATTTTCTTCTTCCCCAAGCCTGGAAGGGCCTTGGGACTTGCTAGGGCCACAGGAAAGTACTTGAAGGGATGATGAGTGACTGTGAGTCTGGGCCTCATGAAGCCTGGAGCTTTCGTTTCTTGCCCCTTTTAAAGGAAATGAGCTGCAATGTCAAGAAGTTGGACTAACCAACTGGAGAGAGAACTGTAAAGGAAGAGAGAAGCCCAGTGAAGCGCTAGCCATTCAAGCCAACCCAACTGGGGCACCAGACGCTGAGGGTAGTCTTCTTAGATCCTCTGGTCTCAGTTGAGCTGCCCCAGTCAACACCGCTTAGAACAGAGACAGATTGTATCAGTTTAGTCCCGCCCAAATTGCAAGACCATGAGCCAACAGAGATTGACAGTGCCTTGTTACATAACAATGGAGAACTGAGGGAGCATATTCGTGATACATGGGGAAATCACTAAGAGGGTTTCCATTTTCTCTCTTAACTACAAGTTCATGAAAGCCAAACCCTTCTCTACGTGGTTACTGCTAGATCCTCTGGACTCAGTCCACAGTAAGAAAGCAACAATGGCTTAACTAATCGATTAATTTTACCATTTCATGCAAGTGCACAATCTACACTTAACTCCTGTTAAGTTAATGTGTGGATTAACTAGTCAGTTAATGTGTGGATGAGGGTTATAGACGATTAAGGTCCTTGTTATGAGGATTCTTCCTGAGATTGGCAATGATGCTAAAAATATTTCACATTTGGTTCCTGACATGCAACATCAAAGTCACCCAGCAAATAGATAGGACCCATAAGTAGAAGGAAGGAGAATTTTTGAAGCAACATGTTATTACAGGACATAATGATCCTTAACATGCTAATTGTTTGTCTCTACTATACCCAAGGAAGTGCTGTAAGATTTAATTTTTCCCCTTGGTAGCAATTCTTTCCTTTGTTATTTCTTTCCTGCAAGGTAATTTGCATTTGAAAAAATGCTTCCTACTGTTTTTCCATCATTGCAAACCTTCATTAAAGAAGTAAGAGTAAAATTATGCATTTCAATCATAGAGCTATCATAGCAGTATGGGACAAACTTGTAATTTTACATAATGCTAATTTTTGCAGCAGTCACTAGTCCTGCGCAGCCTGTAACAGTTCCTTTCCCCAGGCCTCTCAGCCTTGAGAACAGTACAGAGTTCCCTACAGCCCTCGGTCGATGCTGTTGACTGGATGAATTTAAGGGACGCAGAGTGGAAGCTTATAGGAACTACTCTGCAATAAATGTCCCTTAAGAGGGACTGCTCCAACGAGCTTCCTATTTGCAAAGGGTAATAGAGAATTCAGAAAATGATTGACTCATTCTAAGTTCCAATTCACAGTTACATAATCGCAATCCTTTGGACAAGAGACAAAAAGTCATTTTATATGACTAAGCCTTAACATGATGTTTCATAATACTAAATTCACACCTTCCATTTTATCAATGGACGTTACTTAAATTAGCATGTCATCAAATAATAAACTCAGATGCCTTTTAAAATAACCAGAAACAAGAGGACGCCTGCAGAGAAAATCTAGCCTTCCAAAAATAAAATAGGGAAGGCAATTTTTCCACCTACTCAGTTTCTCTTTTGTTCTTACTATTCAATGGGTTTAATATATGCATTGAATTTTCTGTCAACAATGACACAACCTTAACCCTGTCAGCAAGTCTACCCTATGTCTGAATCAAAAATTCATAAAAATCTCAAAGTTGGATGTAGCTTTGCGGTCATCTAATTCAACTCCTTAGCAGAGGCCTGGGCCCTCCCTGCAAAAACCCATTCAAAGGATTATAAACTTCTCCATGTATAAGACTTCTTCATGGGCATTTCCAACAACCAGAAGCATACCCCCTTCTGAGGTAGCCCAGTCCTTCTCTGGATGGCTCCAAATAAAACAGCTCTCCCTAATGTTGACCTGGAATCTCTTTCCTATGTCTTCTGTCTAGTGGCCTAGTGGAGTCTCTAGCTGAATATCCTCTGCCCTCCCCCACCCCCAGCCAATAAAATAAATCATTCTGCCACCATTTTCTTCAAAAAAATGTGAAAATAGGGGCTCCCTTCAAGTGCTCACTTCTCAAGGTCTTTCAACTCTTCTTCTTAAGTCATGAATTCTAAACCAGCATTTCCCAAAACATAGGAAAGGGGGGGAGTTTAGGAACCTCTGAGTTAAACAACACACTTAAATAGGTTTCCTTCTTCTAGAACTTCTTGGGAATGTTTATGCTGCTGAGTATTGTCATTCTCCAAAGCAAGGAAAGGGAAGAATGACCTCCCTCTACTATTGATACTATTTCGTGGAGCACACACTTTGGGAAATGTTGTAAGCCATTAACAACCCTGATTCTCTCCTCAAGAAACAACCCAGCTTGTTGCTGTCCCCATAATTGGACCCAATATGCAGAGTGGGGGGGTGGGGGTAGGGAGTGCTGAACTGAACTATATGAGCAGAAAGGATACCCGATCGCTGGAGAGGAGAAGCCATCTCACTGGGACTGTGAGCGCCATGTCTCTAGCATCCTCTATTTTCAATGCTGAATGCCCAAAAGAGGCTTGATAATTATTTAGATCTCTTAATAGAGTATGGATGGCTTCAGTGAGAACATAGAACTCTTTAGGAAAAAAAAAAATCTCTCTTACTCAAGTGGCAAATATGGCTCAGCTTGAGGTTGGACTAATAGACACTAACATTTCCAGTTTCTATGATTTTAACATTTATATCAGAAAAATCACGCTCATGGACCCAGTAACGTATTGATTCAAATTCATTGATTCCCTAACTTCAAAACCTAACGAAACTATTTCCCAGCCTCCAGATGAAAATTACATAATCACAATAATGGCAGCTCAGTTAAATTGCTAATGATAAGCAGAATCAAAGAATTCTCAGACACTCTTAGTTGGATGGGAATATAGGGAACATTTAGTCTAAACTTTTAATTTGATGAAAATACATGTAAATTTCTAAGATTAACAATAGGGAAAATTGATTCTAAATATCTGTGGTCTACGATGATATTAGTAGAGCCAGTCAAAAAAACCAAGAATTTCCATTTATTCCAGTGATGGTGCTTGCCTGCTGTAGGCCGTATTAAGGCCTGCTCATGGCCCCTCCACACTGTCCATTTTTGAGCACACCAGTTTGACAGCTTCCCACTACCAGTACCTGAAATCAGTTATCTGAGGACTTTCTCTGGCCACCAAAGACTTGATGGCCTAACCTGGGCAATGCCAGGGAGGTACTATCCCTGATGGCAGTCTTTAATCAATGATGAAAGGTGAATTAGAGGATCAATACCCCAGCTCACCTGCCCCTGAGATAAGATTGCACGGAAGTATGTTATACAATTCCCTAGCAGGACTGAGCCCCAGATGCCCATGAAAGCAGCTTTGTAACACACATGTGGTAGGGAGAATAATGCCCCCCACCACTACCAAAGATATCTACATGCTAATTCCCCAGAACTGTGAAGATATTGATATTACAGGGCTAAGGGGAATGCAGGTGGTTAATCTGCTGAGTTTAAAATAGAGAGATTATCCTGGATCATTTGGGAGGACCCAAAGTAACCACAAGGGGCTTTAAAATTGGAATAGAGAGACAGAAGGAGAGGATCAGAAGGAGATATGATTATGGATAACAGGTCAGAGTAAAATTGTAACAGGGTGGTCCCCAGGAAAAGGGGAGGTTCCAGGTTTCCTGCTCCACCCAAAAGGAGGGTGGGGCTGAGCAGGGAGAGAAGAAGCTGCAGAGGAAACTGAGGAAGGAGGGAAGCAGGATGGAGAGCCAGAAGGAGACCTGGAGGAGGCACATGGAGCCGAGAAGAAACTGCACTTGCCTTTTGGTCGTGGACTGGTTGAAACAGATGTGGGTGAGAGACCTGTGGGGAGGTGACAAGGGCGGTTTTTGTCTTGATTTTGATTTTGCCCTTTTCTTCCCAGACATGTCTGGTTATTTCTGATCCTTTTCTGTGGGTCTCCACTGAAAGGTGCTTTAGAACTGTGGCAGGTTTTGGGGCCTTGCTCTGGGCCAATCCTGCTTGGGTGGACTTTTACCCACAAGGGGACGGGTAACTTTGGGTGCTTCATTTAGAAACTAGACTCTTTGCCTTTCCTGTATTGTTTACCAATTGTATTAAAGTTCCTTTTCATTAAAGTCTCACATGCTTTATGTTGATACGGCGGATGGCAGAACCTATTTAGAGCAGGCAGGTTTGTGGGGTCTGGGGTGCCCCTCTCCCTGCCCTGTAACACAATGACATTGCTAGCTTTGAATATGGAGGAAGAGGACCATGAGCCAAGGTGTATAGGCCACCTCCATAAGCTAGAAAAAACAAGGGAATGGATTCTCCCCTAGAGTTGCCAGAAAGGAATGCAGCCCAACCCACACCTTGATTTTAGTGCACTATGACCTGGGTTGGACTTTGGATTTACAAAAGTATAAACTAATAAATTTGTGTTGTTTTAAGTTACTGAGTTCATGGCAGTTCATTGTGGTGGCCACAGAAAACTCACAAGACGTAATTTATTGACTTCCTGCCCTCCCTGCCTCACTTTCCTATTGCCCTGCTGCTGCGTCCTGGTCTTACTGCTCCACAAACAAACAAAAAACTACTTGCACTTAACCCTCATCATGGGGCCTGCTTCTGAAGAAGCCCAAATCAAAATATTGCCTCTGTAGGTCTCTTATGTATATTTGCATGTGATTCCCATATCCTTTATAATTATATAATCGTATTTAAATTGTCATCACAACACAAACACAAAAGTTCTAAAATCAAGAATAAATTTTCTGTATTCAAGCACTAGAACCAGAAGGTATAAAAGTGGTGATAGTATTGACGATGGATGTTATCAGGATTCCCACTATATATGGAAATTCTGAATTATGGAAGTCTATGATCTGCTGGTATTAATAATGGCCTTGAAACTGATCGCCCCTTTAAACTGATGGCCTTTAAACTAACTGAAAAGTGTCAGTTTTCACCTGTTCTATCCAAGTTGTATTCCTAGAGGCACAATTTATTTTCTGACTTGTTCAAAATCTTCAACATTTTATATTGCCTATTAATGTCCAGGGCTCCTTACCTGGCATTCAGAGTCCTCCAACATTACACCCTCACCTGCTTTTCCGCTACTTCACTTCATATACCACCTGGCCCAGCCAAACTAGACCTTTTGCTCTTCTATAAGCATTTTTCCTTCATTTTCTCGTTGTTTCTTCCATCTGGACTAGTTTTAAATGCATCACCATCAAGTCCAATGCCAACAATCCTTCAAAGTCCAAATGCTTGTAGTACGAGTTTATGCATAGAGAAGAAATCCATTAAATGTTACCTGCGCATAAGCTGACTTTCCTGTCCAGTCCTACGCCTCAGAACAAGGAGAACACAAACACCTACCATGCTGAGAGGGGGCCGACACACTCCCGGTACCATGCCCTTTTTTCGCTAAACAACCATCGGCTTTGTTTTTTGTTTTTTACTTTATGTTCTGCTCTGCCAAAGCAGCATGTCACTAGCTGGCTTCTTTACTAATTTACTTACCGAGGATACTCTGTTCCCCAAAAGAAAGGCTTCTGGAGCTCTCCTGCTGGAAATCCTGGAAGGAAGACAAACAACGAATCAAAACTGTAAGCGATACAGAGAGATTGATTAAATGATGAGTACCTGGTTCCAGCTTTAGCCATGAGGGTCCAAAGGCCCATCTTCAAGGTACTTCTATGGAGTTGTGAGCCCTCAAATAGATCCAACTGTCTCTGAGACTATATTAATTCAACTGGGTTTAAAATAAGCACATTCCCCCAGTTTCAAAGAAGCCATTCTGCATGGATACACTATGGGCAGTTTGAGCCTGTGGTGACAAGGTGACTTCATACCCCACACGGGGAAGCAGTTTCGGGCAGTCCAGAGCATCCCCAGATACACAAAGAGCCTGCTTCACAATCTGTGCAGGCTCAGCCCCCCACCCCACTCCACCCCGCCCCCAGGGAGGAGGACCCTGTACTTGGTTCAGTGCTGGTTGTCACTGTCTTGAAACCCTAAAAGTAATTTTATCTTGAACTAGAGTTTGCAGGAGGAGAGCACAAGGGAGCATGTGCATGAGCCAGGGAGCCCCATATCTGTGACACACACCCCAGGTTCCTAGATGCCCCATTTGCAGACAGCCTCCACGCCGCTCCCCAGGAGCACGGGACTCCAGGAGACCCAAATGTGAGGGAGCTCAGTGAGACTCAAAGCAAGTACAAAGTGAGCATATTACCATCCAGGACAGAGTAGACAGGGGCCCTGACGGCCCCCAAGAGGCTGCTCTTCCCTTTAGAACCATAGTTTGCTTTGATCGCCAAAGAAGGCATCTAAGAACACAAACGACCCTGTCATAGTCATCCTTCTCCTGTTCCTTTCCTGCATTCACAAGCCACATGCACTGAAACGATTGGCAGAGGCAAAGGGGAAGCGAGGGCAATGCATGATTTCCTTTCCTTTCCCGCACCCATCAGTAAGCCAGAGAGTCGTTGGGGGAATGTGTGCGTATTAAGGATTGAAAATAAAACAGCCGAGTTCATTTTGTGCAGCATTGCTACTCTTCTGGTGAGAACCAAATACAAATCCACGTACATGCTACAAAATACAAACTTCAGGATTTCGGTGATTCCGTATACAAGTTAAAAGGTCTTCTATTTGCATGATCTAAGGATAAATGACAAAATTATACTAATGATTTCAAACTGTAATAGTTCTTACAAATTGCAACAGCATTAAATGGCAAATAAAAAATACAATAAGACTAGAGAAAGGGAGACCACACACACACACACACACACACACCAAAAAAAAAAAAAAAAAAACAACACAGGACAAAACTATGTTAGCGCCTTCAACAGCGTTTTGTCCCTGCTTTCTGAACCAGGGTGCCCCCACATTTCATTTTGCACTGGGTCCTACAAGTTATGTAACTGGCCCTGGGCGCCAGTTACACCTAGAAAAGTGGGAGAAAGGCCTGGCTTTGCCCTTGCAACTCACCACTACATCTTGCACCGGGAGCTGATCCTAGGAGCTTCCCCTACAAGTCATCCCAGATGGGAATGCAAAGAGTAGTAGGGAGAAGGGTGCTGGGGAGAGAGGGGGGTGGGCAGAGGCCTCGACTGCTGCAGAGCCGCTGAGTTCACGTGATTTCTCTTCCCTCTCATAAAATTCTGTCTACCTCCCATGTGTGATAGACACTACCAAGAGAAGAGAGGATAGGAAAGCAGGTTCTTAATTTAAAAATGAAATGTTAACTTTCTGTAACTAACATATATATGCTTTAAATATATATGTGCTTTATATAGCATATAAATATATATATATATATGCAATATCATAGCTTAGGAGTTGAAGGTGCAAAAGGCCAACTGCAAAACAGAGATGGAGCCAGCCAGTACCATCCCTCTTCCTGCTGCTTTCACATACAGAAAAATGCATCTGACTTTGAAGGAGCAATGTCACATTAATCTTCATATTTTCTACATTTCCTTAAATATCTTTGGCATCTTTACATCAATATTTCATCCTCGGGCCTCCCCGGTGGCGCAGCGGTTGAGCGCTGGGTTGCGAAGCTGCCCGCGGCCTCTGCGGCGCCGGTTCGATCCCCGGCTGCTCCCCGGCCACCGGAGGAGGGTCCCACATGGCGCGCAGACCTCTCCTGCCGCCCGCTGCTCCCCTCAGCAGTGTATTTCGGTCCTTCTGCCTGGTCTGCTCCCCGCTCTGGCTCTGGTGAATTCTCTCACCCTCCCGCGCTTCTGACTGTACCCAGTGCATGTATAAACAAAACAAACAAACAAACCAGCAAACAAATAAATAAAGCATGCCTCTATAAAAAAAAAAAAAAAAAAAAAAAAAATATTCCATCCTCTTTTTCGATGACTACTTTTAGTAAGTCATTCTGACTTGGAGATCTATATATGCAAATATATATTACATGTATATGCAAACCACAGTGTTTATATGAAAGTTGCATCTCATACAATATATCATCAAAAAGCAATAATATTTCCTAATAAGAAGAATGATCATAAACCAATGTGATTTAATTATTAAATCATTATGACTTCCCTGCTTGGTAATATGCCCAGCTGGAAGCATTTATGTCCAGCACCAACCTCTTTGCAGGAAAACAGCTGACACCTGCCTGAACCCCAGCACCCCTGCCTTCTGCTGCTTTTGCTATTTGAGGCCCCCGACTCACAGGCCCCCACCATCATACCCCCCTGACCAGCTGTATCTGCTCCGTTTGTGGGCCCATGCTACCCAGCACTGAGCAACAGTGCAATCTGATGCCCTCAGGGCTGTTGCGAAGCGAATGGATAAACTATTTAAGCTGCATTTTTGGAGATGTCAACCAGAGCTGGTGATAGATCGAATCCCAGTGGGGCCAACTGGAGACCATAAAGTGAATAAGCTGGATTTAGCTGAGGTAGAAGTAAAAAATAAATGGAAAGGGGATTCTTTTTCCTTTTCTCACTCCTTTTAATAGGCTTCTTTACATTTTCTTGCCTATCCCTTTTAGTTCTTTCTCCCCATTTCAGCATTGCCTCCCTCCCTATTTCACACTGTTAAAGTTCCTTTCTCTATCAGTATGTCTATGGAAGGTATTTTTCACAGTGTAAATAAATGTGCGTGGAGATACAAAGATGAGATAGGAGAGAAGGATCGAGAGAGAAATATAACCATTGGGATGGCAAAAGTTAATAAATTTGATAAAGCTAATACTGGCCAGGGTGCAGGGAACATGTCAGTGGGAGTGTAAAGTGTTGCAAGCACTTTGGAGAGCCATTTAGTCATCTCTCAATGCTTTAAATGCCATTTTAAAAAATGACTAGAGGCTGATATGGAAAAAGCCCTAAGAGGCAGTATTAAGTGAAAGAAAAATAGTAAGTGAAAATCAAAGAAAAAACAGAAACAGCATTCAGTCCAACATATGGGGTCCTTTAACATGTAATGCATGTGTAAACACATGTCCGTGTCTATACAAACAGTCAGTGCTGCTGTAACACCAGAACAGAAAAGGCAAATTTGTTCCAACGCAATTGATATCTTGGGGGGGAACTAGGGCATAACTCCAATTTCACATTTGCTTATGCACAATTTCATCCATGCAAAATGATAGGTGAAAGCAGGGGGGTGGGGGGGGGGAAGCACCCAAATCAATTCAGTCCCATTGGAACACACAAAATGCACACACCTCAACACCTCAACAGGGACTGGCCACCCCCGTCCACAGCGCTTCAGAAGACACACCCGCCCACATCTGGTGTTAACACATTGCTTCCAACTTCAGATAACCCTCCTTCCACCACCGCACAATAACTCACAAGCTGCACACCCTCCAAAGCCCACTTCCACGAGCAAACCTCAGATCGTTTCAAGGGCAGGCAACATATTTACAGTGGCATCTATATATTTCCCCCATTTAACCCGTGTAAAAGCTTAAATGGGAGAGCTGAGCTATCCTTGTTTAATTAGGCTCCCAGCTTTGCTTTCATATGTTGGGGTGGGGTTTTTTTGGTTTGTTTGTTTGTTTGTTTGTTTGTTTTTATTTACAATTCTATTTCTTCGCATGGCAAAATCTCCAAGACATGTTGTTGCAATGAAGCAAGGCACAAATCTTTATATATATATATACATAATATTTATATTTTTTCAGTAACGACCCTCTCCGTGTGCATATTTGTATGTAAATACAGAGAAAAGGTCTGTAAAATGCATATCAAAGTGATCATAGTGGTTACCTCTTGGAGAGAACTAGGATTTGGGGTGGTGGGTAGCCTAAAGAGGTTTTGGACATAAATACAATGTGTGAAATTTTGATTAATCGAAGGTAATCAACTTGTGTAATTAAAATGAGCTCCTTTAGAAATAAATGTGTGTTTGCTATAGGAAATTCTTCCAAAGGTTATCCAAAAATAGTTCATAGATAACTAAGCTTCCATAGTAGTTTGCTCTGCATTCGTGGACACTAGCATTCTCCACTCCTCTTTCACTCTAAAATACAGATTATGCTGATATAAATCCAAAGACTAAAATCCTAGCAAAAGAAGATAATGGTATTTCTACATTGTAATCACCTCATTATTTGTTATCTCTTTTTCAAACCTGCACCTGGGAAAGTCACTAGGGCCTGCTTGAGCTTTTCTACTTGAGTCAACCTTTCAGTTTTACCAGACCTCCTCCTGATTCTTATGTCAGTGACCTACCTGGAGTCTTAGCAAAACGCTGAGCGATGTCAAAAGACAAGGGTGTTTAGGACACGATGGCCATGGAAGTGATCGCTTTCAGTGGGCAAATACCCTGGTCAGGTTCAACTCTCAGACCTCCATAGTCATAAAGTTATATCCTAATTGTAGCTAAAGCTTCCCAGGAAAAGTTAAATACCTCAATATGTTTGTGTTTCAGTATCCACTTTCTTATTGTAAAAATCTTCCTAGCTAGGCTTTTAGTATAAATAAATATAGAGAAGAAAACAAAATTAGCCCATGATCCCACAGCTCAGACTAGGAAAACAAAGATACACTCAGAGCTAGCCAATTCACACTGGAAAAAAAATCAGTAATACCCCTTTAT